AAATACCATGGACTTTCTTCAGAGAGTTGGAACAAATCATCTTAAGATTTGTGTGGAATCAGAAAAGACCCCGAATAGCCAGGGGAATATTAAAAAGAAAACCTTAGCTGGGGGCATCAGAATGCTAGATTTCAAGTTGTACTACAAAGCTGTGGTCATCAACACAGTGTGGTACTGGCACAAACCAGACGCATAGATCAATGGAACAGAATAGAGAACCCAGAAGTGGACCCTCAACTCTATGGTCAACTAATATTCGACAAAGGAGGAAAGACTGTCCACTGGAAAAAAGACAGTCTCTTCAATAAATGGTGCTGGGAAAATTGGACATCCACATGCAGAAGAAGGAAACTGGACCATTCTCTTACACCATACACAAAGATAAACTCAAAGTGGATGAAAGATCTAAATGTGAGACCATGATCCATCAAAATCCTAGAGGAGAACACAGGCACCACCCTTTTTGAACTTGGCCACAGTAACTTCTTCCAAGATACATATATGAAGGCAAGGGAAACAAAAGCAAAAATGAACTACCGGGACTTCATCAAGATGAAAAGCTTCTGCACAACAAAGGAAACCATCAACAAAACTAAAAGGCAACCTAGGGAATGGGAGAAGATGTTTGCAAATGACCTATCAGATAAAGGGCTCTTATCCAAAATCTACAAAGAACTTATCAAACTCAACACCCAAAAACCAAATAATCCATTTAAGAAATGGGCCAATGACAGAATAGACATTCTTCCCAAGAAGACCTACAAATGGCCAACAGGCACATGGGATTACTCAACATCACACATCATCAGGGAAATACAAACCAAAATCATGATGCAATCCCTTCCCACACCTGTCAGGATGTCTAAAATAACAGCACAGAAAACAACAGATGTTGGCAAGGTTACAGAGAAAGGGGAACCCTCTCATACTCTTGGGGGAATGCAAAGCTGTGCAACCACTCTGGAAAACACTATGGAGGTTCCTCAAGAACTCAAAATTAAACTACCCTATCTGTGATCCAGCAACAGCACTATTAAGTTTACCCAGAGGATACAAGAATATTCTCTGAAGGGGCACAGGCACCCTAATATTTACAGCAGCATTATCACATTAGACAAATTAATGAAAGAGCCCAAATGTCCATGGACTGATGAACAGGCAAATAAGATGTCGTGCATAGACAGATAGACAGATAGACAGACAATGGAATATTAGTCATCAAAAGATGATATTCTCTTTTGTAATGAAATGGAAGGACCTAGAGTGTACTCTATATGTTGAGCAAAGTCAGTCATTCAGACAAAGTACCAGATAATTTCACTCATATGTGGAATTAAAAAAAAAAAACAACAAACAAACGAATATAGGGGAAGGAAGGAAAAGAGTGGGAGGTATACTATAAGAGATTCTTTAGTACAGAGAACAACAGGCTTGCTGGAGGGAAGCAGGGCATGGGATTGGCGTGGTGATTGGCATTGAGGAGGGCACTTGTGATGAGCACTGGGTGTTATAGGTAAGTGATGAATCACTAAATACTAGCCTTGAACCAATATTACAGTATATGTTAACTAACTAGAATTTAAGTAAAAACTTGAAAAAAATAAGGAAAGAACACTCATGGAATGGTAAAGCTTGCAGGGACCACGGTAGTCCAGTAGCAAGCACCTTGTGCATTAAAAGATGAGGAAGGGGCGCCTGGATGGCACAGTCAGTTATGTGACCAACTGTTGGTTTCAGCTTGGATCCTGATCTCAGGGTCATGAGGTCGAGTCCCACATCGAGCTCCGTGCTCATCTGGAGTGTGTTCTCCCTCTCTCTCTAACTCCCACTTGTTCTCTCTCCTCTCTCTCTCTTAAAAAAAATAAGATGAGAAAAATAAATCACATTTTCAGACACAGTGCAGACCCTGGAGCTACAAAGCCTCACCTATACCACACACACTACCCTGCTTGCCTCATCTTTCCTCAATCTCCCTTTTTTGCTCTCTCCTCCTCCCTTTTCTTTCCTAGACACCATATGCTTAGTGAGGCCAGCAGGACCAAGAGCTAAAAATGTCCTGGGTGTGGCCCTTCATAAAGGCTTTCATCAAAGGCACTTACCTTGAAGTTGAAGCCATGATGAGCCAGGAACAGAGACTTGTCTATATGTGCAGAGTCAAAGAACCTGTAAGACAGCAAAAGTCGATTTTTAAAAATTGTATGCTGGGCAGCCCGGGTGGCTCAGTGGTTCGGCGAGTGCCTTCGGCCCAGGGTGTGATCCTGGAGACCCAGGATCGAGTCCCACGTCAGGCTTCTGCGTGGAGCCTGCTTCTCCCTCTGCCTGTGTCTGTGCCTCTCTCTCCCTTCTGTGTCGCTCTCATGAATAAATAAAGAAAATCTTTAAAAAATAAAAAAATAAAATAAAATATGTATTCTTTCATTGTAAAGGGCCTTAACTACCAATTTCACTTTAAAAAAAAATGTATGTTAATTAGCAAGGAATAGCACCTTCTCCACCATTTAAGTGAAAAAACAACAACAACAACACATGTTTAAAGTTCACCAGCAGTAAGCAGAGGATGGATTGAATACACACAGCAGAGGGGGTCTAGTCAACTGGTCAATCAGAGAGAAAAACAACGAGCCCTCCACCTCCTGCTGAAACATATTATAGGTCAAAGTTTTCACCGTCAAAACACCTGGCATGTGGGCCGGATGAGCCTTTGTTGGGGGGCTGTCCTGTGAATTACGGGATTTTAACAGCTTTCCAGAACTCTAGATGCCAGTAAAAAATGGATCCCCTACCTGTGAAATCAAACATGCTGAAAGGAAGGTAAAATGGTGCAACCACTATGTAAACAGTATGAGAGTTCCTCAAAAAAAATTAAAAATACAACTACCATATAACCCAGCAATCCTACTTCTGGGCTACGTGTAGTCAAAAGGATTGAAAGCGGGGTCTCCAAGAGACCTCCATCTTCAGAGAAGCATTCTGTGTCATAGCCACGGGGTGGGAGCAACTCACATGTCCATCAAAGGTAAATGGATAAAGAAAACGTGGCATATACTGATGTTTATTTATTTATGAGAGACACACGGAGAGAGAGGCAGAGACACAGGCAGAGGGAGAAGCAGGCTCCATGCAGGGAGCCCGAGGGGGGACTCGATCTCAGGTCCCCAGGATCAGGCCCTGGGCCAAGGCGGCGCTAAACCGCTGAGCCACCCGGGCTGCCCTCTCTTTCTTAGTAAAGAGAAATTTTACCACATTACAAGCACAGTATGACACAATCACTTGTACATTTTCAATAGCTTAGTCTACACCCCCAGGTGACTCGGGCTGAGCGTCCACCTTCGGCCCAAGGCCTGATCCTGGGATCCGGGATCGAGTCCCCCATCAGGCTTCCTGCATGGAGCCGGCTTCTCCCTCGGCCTATGTCTCTGCCTCTCTCACTCTCTGTCACTCTCATGAATAAAGAAATAAAAATCTTTAAATAAAAAAAATAAAATAAAACAAAATAATTCGCTTAGGCCTTTGCTGGAAGGTGCTGCTTGTTGCTCAACTTAGGTTCCGTGGAATCCGTGAGGCACGATCATCCTTACATTCAAGGCTTGCCGTTTCTTGTGTCACCAATGTGCTCCTTCCTCTTTAACCCTTCCTCCAGAGGTGGGTCAGGGAGGGGGTCCCAGGAAGTGAGGTCACTCCCGTGACACAGAGCCCAACAGAACTTGGAGCCCCCGTAACCAGGCAACCTCATCCAGTGCAGCCCCAACTCAGGCTCACTTGGCTGGAGACATCCGCTCCTGGAAGATGTTTTCTTGCTGCCGGCCCACCTCTGGGGGCTCTGGCTCCCAGGTACCCCAGGGGTGCCGCTTGTTCCAATGCTGTAGGCTTTGGCTCCAGCATAAAAACCAACGCCTCAGGGCGTTTATCAGGAGGCGCCGTCAGGTAACACAGAGCAGGCCAGGCCAGGCCCCCTGTGCCAGCCATCCTGGGTGGCCCCATCCCCTCCTCTCCAGCTTCAGGGACACAGGGATGTGTGGGCAGGTCGCTTCCAGGCTGGGGGACGTTGCAGGGCGGCAGGTTCCCCGGTGATCCCTTCAGGGTCACCGTGAGGTCAAGGTGGACAGGGTGGAAACAGGGTTCCTGAGGTCCTCTTACCCGCCCCAGAGTCACCCCGAGGCCCTGCAGCCGCACCCCTTTGCTCTCCTTGGGGGAGGTGGGTGCCGCATGCGCTGTGGTGTGTCTGGATGGGGGCAGCTGGGGGTGCGGCCCAACCGAGGCGGCCGGACCGGGCGCTGAGGCCTCCTGCCTGGCTGCCGGGCGCTGTCTCCACAGAGCTGCACCCGGGCCATGGGGCGCCAGCGGGAGGAAGGGGTCGCCTGCCCCACCGCCTCCAGGAACTGGGAAGTGCCCTGCGCAGCTAAAGGAGGCCAGCGCGGGCTCAAGGTGAGTGCAGGGGCTGGGGCACCCCCGACACCCGGGGCCCCGATGCGGCACGAAGGGCCCCGGGTCCCAGAAGCCAGCCTGCTACTCCCCTGGCCTGGCCCCTACACTCATGCTCCCACACGAGTCTGCATTCCCCTCCTCCCCACACTTGCCCCAGGGCCCTGCCCCTGCCTGGGCCAGTTGCAGAGTCCCTGTGCACAGATGTGTAGGAATGTCAGACTAGAGCCTCCAGGGGAAGCCTGGTCGCCCAGTGGTTTAGCGCCTGCCTTCCGCCCAGGTCCTGACCCCGCAGGCCTGGGATCGAGTCCCGCCTCGGGCTCTCTGCACCAGGGCTGCTTCTCCCTCTGTCTGTGTGTCTGCCTCTCTCGGTCTCTGTCTCTCTGTGTCTCTTGAGGTCCTTGTAGTGATCCAACCTTTTTTGAACATTTATCCTCTGAGATTGTTTCTTTATTGGATAGTTCGTCTTGTTTGTGTAAGAGACAGGCAGAGAGCAGGGAGGGGGAGAGGGAGACCCAGGCTCCTCAAGCACACTGGGCCCCAAGCCCGGGGCCTGCCAGGGCGGGATCCCAGGGGCTGCGGCCACGACCTGAGCCACAGCCGAGAGTCAGATGCTAAGTGCCTGAGCCACAAGCATCAAGGCCCGGGTTCCTGCCATGGGCGCTCCTGCTGCCCGCAGCCCCCGAGAGCTCGGGCTGCGGTCTGCGCTCCCAGCCCAGGCCTCCGGGCGGCTCCATGCAGGCTGCACTTCCCCTCTGTCCCACCTCAGGGTGCAAGGGCCTCGGCCGGGAAGGGGCCTCCCATCTGCCCGACGAAGCCCAGCCGGACGGAGCTGCTGGAGCAGGAATTCCAACAACTGCTGCCCGCCTTGCTGCGCAGGGATGTCATCTCGGTATTCATGTTTTTAGATGAATGTCATGGATTTGCCACCACCGAGGAGGTGCTGGATCTGCTGTTTACGAAGTGAGCACCTGCCCCTCCATGGCCCAGGGGAGCGCCACCTGCTGGTGGGGAGGCTGGGGAAGGGTTCTGAGCTTCCCGGGCCTCGGGCTGCTCCCCCGACTGGAGCAGAGTCACCCAGGGCACAGTGGGGTCCTGGAGGGCAGCCCCGGGGCCTGGCCTGTGACAGGTCGGCCAGAGGGGCTGTGCCTGTGCTCAGCAGCCGTCCTCACCCCATGACGGGGCCTGTGCCTCCTCCCCACCGTCACCAGGGTCTTGAGCTGGCCTCTTTTCCCGTTGAAAGGGAGGTTTGAGAGTCCACCGGGGGTCTGTGTCCTGGGGCAACCAGACAGGGGGACCACGGGGACCCCGGGGCGCCCAGGCCCACTCTGATATCGGCCATGGGCCTGGCCGGAGCCCTTTCATGCTCAAGCACTCAGGAGGCCCCAGCAGGTGCGGGCGCTTCTCCGGGAGCTGCGCGTGGCCCCACGCACAGAGCTGACGGCACCCAGGGCTCCGGCGTCGTCGGGGGTCAGAGGGTGACAGCCCCCATGGTGAGAGGTCGCGGCCACAGGACGATTCATGGGATGCCCCCCGCCCTCCTCTAGATATGGGTGCATCGCAGGTGGGTGTGGTGGCAACGACGCGGTCCTGCAGCCCTGGAAACTGTGAGTGACTCCGGCTGCTGCAGGCGGGCCTTCCCTCTCCAGGAGGGCAGCGAGGGGGCTGTGGGTCGGGGGGTGCTGGACACTCACCCCACACATCTGCAATTCCCGTGACAGGGTAAAGGTCTAAGGGCCCTTAAGGAAAAGAGGAAAGGAGAGCTGTGAATAGGGTGTGGGCTTGGTGGGAGAGCACTGGGACCCCGAAGGGAGACTTTCTCCATGCCCGCCCCTCCACCCCTCTGTCTGCCCCACACCTGGGACCCAGAGCAGAGGGGGTGGGGAGCATCGCACTCCCCAATATGGTGGCACCTGGACCCAGGTGCACAGCAGGTTGCCAGGAGGGCCGTTGAGGGCTCACGGACCAGGTGGCCCTCGCCCTGTGGGAGACGGGAGATTGGAGTCAGTGGAAGGACATCCCCTGGGGCCCCTCATGAGGGAGGCAGCGCAGAGCCACAGGAGGGAAAGTGGAGGTCCCGGGTGGCTCCTGGCAAAGCCTGGCAGGACACAGAGCCCGAGCTCCTCTGGCTTGGACCTTCCCAGAGTGACAGTGTGTGCAGTGAGGGCAATGACAGGCCAGACGCCCCCCCCCACCCCGTCCCCGGACGCCTGCCGGTGGATTCAAGGGGCAAGTGGGCAGGGACCCAGGCTGAGGAGGGAGCCCCGCTTCCCCAGCAAAGACAGTGATGGTCACACCGCTGGGCGTGGGCTCCCCCGCACAGAGGCTTCGTGCCAGCCCCTCCTCGGTGAGCAGGCCTGTGGCAGGCAGGACTGCCAGGTGGCAGGTGGACGAGGAGCAGGACTGGCCTCCGACAGCCCCGCGCGGGAGGCTGAGGCCCCGGGTCCTGCAGGGTTTCCCCGGGACACCTCGGCGTGAGGGAGCCCTGTCTTCTGACGCCTGTGCCCACCTGTCCCTCCCCAGGGCCATGTGCTGCATCCTGGAAATATGGGTGGATTATTATCGGCAGGACTTGTGTCAGCTCCGAGAATTTGCTTCCCTGAAGAAGATTCTGGAATTCTTAAGGCAGCGCATGCCAGGCACAGACGTGGAGCTCCGTGCCCGACGTTACCTCCAACAACTCAGACGCCTTCATGCAGTGGAGCCAGAGGCTGGGGGTGAGGAGTCCTAGGGGTGGCCGAGCTGGGGACAGGGTGGGCCCCACGGATCCAGCGACCGTGCAGCTGGGCCGGGAGCAGGGGTTAGGCTCACACCCCATCCCCACGAGCTGCTAGGCTGGGGACACCTACCAGGGCTCTCCCCCCCCCCCCCACACACACACTTGAGCGGTGGGGAGAGTGTCCTTGATTTGGGAGGGTCGTGGAAAGTCCGTCCTGGTGGTGATACTTTGTCTTTTTGGAGCTACAGCTTTGGCCTGAGCAAAAGACCCTGAGCCACTTCAGCAGCCCGCCCCAGCTCCAACTCCGGGGCCTGCTGCCTCGGTAGGGCCTGAAGTGATCGAGGCCATCCTGACAGCTGGGGCTGAGGGCTCGGCCCAGCTGAGGTGCCAGCTGGGGAGGCGAAGCCCCTGCAGATAGTGGTCACTGCTCTAGTTCCCTGCTGCACCCTGGACGAGCCACCTGCACCCGCGGCCACCCGGGAGGAGGAGCAGGCCCCGGCACCTTCAAGCGGGGTCCCCAGAATGCCAGAGCCGCCACTTGCCTCTGGAACAACTGGCTTCCATCCCTGAGCAGCCCCCTGACCACCTGGGGAGCCCACCCCAGCTCCCACCGCGGGGCTCGTGATGGCTGCAGCCCAACGGAGGCTTGCCCTCCCCTGTCACTTGATTCTTTCTATATTTTGAGTTTTTCTTTAACCTGTATAATGCCTTATGAGTTTTATCGTAATTAATTATAAGTTAACTTCAAACAAAATTCACTCTGATGCTTTTAAACTATACATCGTGGACCTACACTTTAGGTCCATTCACAGTGTCACAGGCCCCAGAGCCCAGGGCACCGGGGGACACAGCCCAGGATCGGGTGTTCCCCCGGGTCAGGCAGAGGCCGGGAGGACACAGGATAGCCAGGGGGCTCCTGCCCCCGGCGGCCCGAGCTGTACAGATCGGCGGGCCCGCCCCTGGAGCATCCAGGGCCCTGTGCACTGGGAGCTGCGGTAGTCACTGCGGGAGCTGACTCCAGGGCTGCACAGCTGGCCGCCCCCACTGTTGTTGTCCCTCCTGGTGTCACCCTGTACCTGGGACTGAGCAGGGGCCTCACAGATAAACAACTCCCACTGAGCCATACACCTGGCAGGGGCCTGGGTAGCTCCCCATGTGCACACACCTGAGAATCAGCACAGCAGGCCCCTCCCCCAGAAGACCAGCTAGAAGGTCAGGGGAAAAGCAAGGTATTGACCAGGCAGCACTGGAAAGTTCCAGGGGAAGTCGAGGGATTTACAGTATATAGAATCAGAGGATACTCCCCCTTGTTTTTTTCTTTTCTGTTTGTTTCTGCTGTTTCCCCACCCCCTTTTTTATTCTTTTTTATTTCTTCTTTTCTTTCTCTCTCTCTCTTTTTCTCATTATTCCAGTACAACTTGTCTTTGGCCACTCTGCACTGAGTAAAATGGCTAGAAGGAAAAAGTCACCTCAAAAGAAAGAAATCAGAAACAGTCCTCTCTCCCACAGAGTTACAACATTTGGATTACAATTCAATGTCAGAGAGCCAATTCAGAAGCACAGTTATAAAGCTACTGGTGGCTCTAGAAAAAAGCATAAAGGACTCAAGAGACTTCATGACTGCAGAATTTAGATGTAATCAGGCCAAAATTAAAAATCAGTTAAATGCGATGCAATCCAAACTGGAGGTCCTATCGACCAGGGTTAACGAGGTAGAAGAACGAGTGAGTGACACAGAAGACAAGTTGATGGCAAGGGCGGAAACTGAGGGAAGAAAAGAAAGACAATTAAGAGACCATGAGGATAGGTTAAGGGAAATAAATGACAGCCTCAGAAGAAAAAAATCTAATTTTAATTGGTGTTCCAGAGGGTGCCGAAAGGGATAGAGGATCAGAAAGTGTTTTGAACAGGGGATCCCTGGGTGGCGCAGCGGTTTGGCCCCTGCCTTTGGCCCAGGGCCCGATCCTGGAGACCCGGGATCGAATCCCACATCAGGCTCCTGGTGCATGGAGCCTGCTTCTCCCTCTGCCTGTGTCTCTGCCTCTCTCTCTCTCTGTGTGACTATCATAAATAAATAAAATTTAAAAAAAATTAAAAAAAAGAAAGTGTATTGAACAAATCATAGCTGAGAAATTCCCTAACTTGAGAAGGGAAACAGGCATTCAGATCCAGGATATAGAGTGATCCCCTCCTCTAAAATCAGTAAAAACCATTAAACATCCCGACATTTAATAGTGAAACTTGCAAGTTCCAAAGATAGAGAGAAAATCCTTAAAGCAGTGAGAGACAAGAGAAAATCCTTAAAGCAGCGAGAGACTCCCTTAACTTATATGGGGAGAAATGTTAGATTAACAGCAGACCTCTCCACAGAGATCTGGCAGGCCAGAAAGGGCAGGCAGGATATATTCAGGATCCTAAATGAGAAGAACGTGCAGCCAAGAATACATTATCCATCAAGGCTCTCATTCAGAATAGAAGGAGAAATAAAGAGCTTCCAAGATAGGTAGAAACTGAAAAAAATATGTGACCACCAAATCAGCTCTGCAAGAAATATTAAGGGGGACCCTGTAAAAGCAAGAGGAAGCCCAAAGAAATAATCCACAAAAACAGGCACTGAATGATATTACCATGACACTAAATTCATATTTTTCAATAGTAACTCGGAATGTGAATGGGCTTAATGATCCCCTCAAAATACCCAGGGTTTCAGACTGGATAAAAAAGCAAGACCCATCTATTTGCTGTCTGCAAGAGACTCATTTCAGATGTAAGGACACCTACAGCCTGAAAATAAAAGGTTGGAGAACCATTTACCATTCAAATGGTCCTCAAAAGAAAGTTGGAGAAGCAATTCTCATATCAGGTAAATTAAATTTAATCTCAAAGACTAGTAAAAGATGAAGAGGGACACTATATCATACTTAAAGTGTATTTCCAACAAGAAGACCTAACAACCATGAATATGTATGCCCCTAATGTGGGAGCTGCAAGTGTATCAATCAGTGAATAACCAAAGTAATGACATACTTAGATAATACACTAATAGTAGGAGATTTCAACACGGCACTTTCAGCAAATTACGGATCTTCTAAGCATAACATGATCAAAGAAACAAGAGCTTTAAATGATACACTGGACCAGATGGATTTCACAGATATTGCAGAACACATCCAAACGCAACTGAATACACATTCTTCTGAAGTGCACATGGAACTTTCTCCAGAATAAACCACATACTGGGTCAAAAATCAGGTCTCAACTGATACCAAAAGATTGGGATTGTCCCCTGAATATTTTCAGACCACAATGCTTTGAAACTAAAACTCAATCACAAAAAGAAATTTGGAAGAAACTCAAACACATGGAGGTTAAAATGCATCCTGCTTAGAGATGAATTGGTCAGCCAGGAAATTAGGGAAGAATTAAAAAGATTAATGGAAACTAATAAAAATGAAGTTACAACCATTCAAAATCTTTGGGATACAGCAAAAGCAGTCCTAAAAGAGAAATACATCGCAATACAAGCATCTCTCAAAAAATTGGAAAAATTCACACCTTCAGGAACTAGAGAAAGAACAGCAAATAAAACCTACACCAGGCAGAAGAAGGGAGACAATAAAGATTCAAGCAGAACCCAGTGAAATGGAGACTAGAACTGTAGAACAGATCAACAAAACCAGGAGTTCTTTCTTTGAAAGAATAAATAAGATAGATAAACCATCCTTAGCCAGCCTTATTAAAAATAAAAAAAGACTCAAATTAATAAAATCACAAATGAAAAAGGAGAGATCAAACCAATAACAAGGAAATACAAACAATTTTAAAAACGTTATATGAGCAGTTATATGCCAACAAATTAGACAATGTAGAAGAAATGGATGCATTTCTAGAAAACCACAAATTACCAAAACTGGACAGGAAGAATTAGAAAAACTGAACAGGCCATAACCAATGAAGAAGTTGAAGCAGTCATCAAAAACGTCCCAAAACACAAAAATCCAGGCCCAGATGGCTTCCCAGAGGAATTCTATCAAACATTTAAAGAAGAAAAAATATCTATTCTACTAAAGCTGTTCTGAAAGATAGAAAGGGATGGAATACTTCCAAACTCGTTTTATGAGGCCAGCATCACCTTAATTCCAAAATCAAAGACCCCACCAAAAGGAGAATTATAGATCAATATCTCTGATGAACACATGCCAAAGATACTAGCCAATAGGATCCAACAGTACATTAAGAAGATTATTCACTATGACCAAGTGGGATTTATCCCTGGGATGCAAGGCTGGTTCAACACTGGTAAAACAATCAATGTGATAGATCATGTCAACAAGAGAAAAAACAAGAACCATATGATCCTTTCAATAGATGAAGAGAGGGATGCCTGCGTGGCGCAGCGGTTTGGCGCCTGCCTTTGGCCCAGGGCGCGATCCTGGAGACCCGAGATCAAATCCCACGTCGGGCTCCCGGTGCATGGAGCCTGCTTCTCCCTCTGTCTGTGTCTCTGCCTCTCTCTCTCTCTCTCTCTCTCTCTCTCTCATTGTGTGTGACTATCATAAATAAATAAAAATTAAAAAAAAATAGATGAAGAGAAAGTATTTGACAAAATTCAGCATCCATTCCTGATTAAAACTCTTCAGAGTGTAGCAATAGAGGAAACAATCAGCATCTTAAAAGCCATCTACGAAAAGCCCACCTTGAATATCATTCTCAATGGGGAAACACTGAGAGCCTTTCCCCTAAGATCAGGAACAAGACAGGGATGTCCACTCTCACCACTGCTATTCAACATAGTACTAGAAGTCCTAGCCTCAGCAATCAGACAACAAAAAGAAATAAAAGGCATTCACATTGACAAAGAAGAAGTCAAACTCTCCCTCTTCGCAGATGACAGGATGCTTACATAGAAAACCCAAAGACTCCACCCCAGGATTGCTAGAACTCATACAGCAATTGCAGTGTGGCAGGATACAAAATAAATGCCCAGAAATCAGTGGCATTTCTATACACTAACAATGAGACTGAAGAAAGAGAAATAAAGGAGTCAATCCCATTTATAATTGCACCCAAAAGCTAAAATACCTAGGAATAAACCTAACCAAAGAGGTAAAGTATCTATACCCTAAAAACTACAGAACACTTCTGAAAGAAATTGAGGAAGACAGTAAGAGATGGAAAAATATTCCATGCTCATGGATTGGAAGAATTAATATTGTGAAAATGTCTATGCTACCCAGGGCAATTTACACATTCAATGCAATCCCATCAAAATACCATGGACTTTCTTCACAGAGTTGGAACAAATCATCTTAAGATTTGTGTGGAATCATAAAAGAAACCAAAAAGCCAAGGGAATATTGAAAAAAGAAAACCAGAGGCAGGGGCATCACAATGCCAGATTTCAGGTTGTACTACAAAGCTGTGGTCATCAAGACAGTGTGGTACTGGCACAAAAACAGACACATAGATCAATGGAACAGAATAGAGAACCCAGAAATGGCCCCTCAACTCTCTGGTCAACTAATATTCGACAAATCATGAAAGAATATCCACTGGAAAAAGGACAGTCTCTTCAATAAATGGTGCTGGGAAATTGGACAGCCACATGCAGAAGAATGATACTAGACCAGTCTTTTACACCATACACAAAGATACA